GGATTGAGCCAGACTGGAGCATTGTCAGGTAGGAGCTGCCCAGCCTCACTTTCCTTCCTCAGTTCTCAAAAGCCCAGGCGAATTCTGGGGGCCAAGTCCTGCTTTGGGGACTCAGGAACTGGAGTTGGTTGAGAGCACACCCCCCCCAAATCAGAAGACTTTCTTGCCGTGGCTCCCTCCTTCCACTGAGAGCCCCCTCTGAGCAGGACCCGGCCCTGGAGGCCAAGCTCTGAGCAGAAAGAGCCTACGGCCTCTAATTTGAGGATTGATGGTGCACTTGGGCGCCATGTTGCCATCTCACAGTGACTGGCCAGGGGAGGTGTCAGTCCTACTCCCCGAAACCTCATGAATACGGGCAATAATTCGAGTCCTGCTGAGGAGCGTAGGAGGAAGTGAGATCACATCCAACTTCTCCTTGGCCTGCTCTGGAAGGAAAGCGTGTCCTGACCACCAGCATCCAGTTCCGATGTGCATCCTCTGTGCTCTGTGTCCTCCTGCCATCCTTTGTCTTAGCACCTCTGACCTCTGGTTGCCTTTGTCCTTCCCTCTACTGGAGACTGCTCAAGGGCAGGGACTGGGTCCTTCCCTGCCCTTTCCCCCGTGTCCAACAAGAGGACACAGACCACGTTTCCTAGATGGAGGGAACCAAGTATGATGCTGTTACAGAAAGACCCTGCAGGTCTGCTCTGGCTCAGCCATTCATGAGCTGTCTCGGGGTCATCTGCACAATCTTCCAGGGCCTCCACCTCTTGAGTGATTCATCTGGGGCTTTGGAAGCTCTGGAGTCCCGAGGGACCCTCTCAACCCCGGCTTGGTGGGGCCTGGAGTGGGGGCGTCGCACCTCAAGGAAGGAACTGTGGGCAGGCAGCGTGAGTCTGCTTTTCTAGGCCCTGGAGGGTGCATGGTAATGAGAAGGGGCTGCAGAGGGCATCCTGAGAGCAAGGCCACAGGTGATAATGGGGGAACCGCTGCATCAGAGGCTGAATGCAGAATAGGAAAAGGAGTCAGAAGGAGCGGGCTCAGCCCAGCTGCATTGCTTCTAGCCACGTGACTTTAAAGGCTGCTTAACCTCCGTGGGTCCAGGGTTTTCCGTCAGTGAACCCCCTCTCAGGGCGCCTGAGAGAATTAAGGGGGATGCAAATGAACAGTGTCGTGCCTGGCTCCGCTCCCTTTTTCCTCCCTGTCCCTGGGTCCCCATCTTTGCCACTATCTGCTTCAGCTTGGGTCTGGGGTCGAGGGGAGGGGAGAGCATGGAGATAGGGTCTCCACAAGCTGAGCCAGGGGTCAGGGACGAGCTCAGTCCAGGGAACCATCTTTTAAACCAGGAGTCCAACTCCAGCCTGGGTGCCAAATCTGGCTGTCTGCCTGCTCTTGTAAATAAAGTTTTATTGGAACACAGCCACGCTCATTCACATATGTTTTGTCTATAGCTGCTTTCTCACTACATCAGCAGAGCTGAGTAACTGTGGCAGACCACGTCACCTGAGAAGCCTGAACTATTTATTCTCCGGCCCTTTATAGAGTTTGCCACCCCCCGAGGCCTTACACCCAAGGAAAGGCAGCCTTCCCTGAAATGAGATTTGTTTGTCCTCAGCAATTACTCTCAAAGACCCAAACCTTATAAGCTTTAGCCATGATCTTAAAGCAGATGAAGAATATGAGGCACTGAGAGGGGAAATCGCCCGTAAAAAGCTATTCCAGGATTTGCCCCCAGGGCCTGGTGAGTCCAGGAAGTTGGCGTAGCCCCCTGTGCTGAAGACAAACTCTGTAACTCTCGGGGGAATTCACAGCCTGGTTTAATTCTGTTCTTCCTCACTCCGCCATCACAGAAATAGAAGTGCCGTCCTTCCTGGCACGCAGCAGCCCACCCCCAGTAGTGCTCACATCAAGAGGGCGGTTGGAGGCACGCTCTGAGTCTGCCAGCGACTCCAGCATTCAGCTGCAGTTAACAAACCCTGTGCAGAATGCCTGGGTCTACGTCACTCACAGCAGCCTGGGCTGCTAAGGAAGAGTGCTGGGGGGCATCTGATAAATGCGTGTTGAGCTGATGGTTGAGAAGGTCGGGAGATGGCTGGATTTCAGAAGCTCATTCTCAAACACAGCCATGGGCAGAAGAGCCTCTTGGTTTCATAGGAACCTTCCTGCGTGCATATATATGCATGTGTATGTGCATGGGTACGTGTGTGAGAGTGTGTGTGTGTGTGTGAATGTGAGTGTGTGTGTGAATGTGAGTGTGTGTGTGTGCCTGAGAAGGGGGCAGGTGGAGGTGAGAAAGGGAGGGAAGTAACGGAGTGTAAAGATGGGCAGATGGAGAGAGGGGTAGAAATGAACGTGGGTGTCTAGGATTCTTTACCCACCAAGCTTATAGCTACTTAACTGTTGTAGATAGCAGGATTCTTCTAGAAGATACTCCCTTGGCTGTGCATAAGGTGATTCCTTACTCTCCTTTGAGTGGTCCCCAAGGATGATAGCTGTCACCCCAAGTCAGCTTTTCCGCCACCCTAAAGTAAGACAATCACACCCGGGTTTTCTTTGAAAAGCTACATGAAGGAGAATCTCCTGACCCTTCCCTGTCAGCAGTCCTCTCGCTGACACCCCAGAGTACAGGAGACCTGAGTCCCAGCATTTCTATTTGCGCTCCTAGAAGAGGTTCCTGAGTGTCTGGGCCTCTGCCTTTCTCAGGTCTCAGCTGACTGAAGCCTCTAAGGTGGAAATTTGTAGTATGGTTGCCCCGGGGGGGTGGGGGTGAGGCTGTGTTCAGACCTTCAAGGGTCTGGCAGAGAATAGTCTGGCCCATTAGGCCAAGGCCACTGTGAGAATTCCCTGAAGGCAGCCGCTTACCTGGTTAGAGCGCAGGCTCATAACACCAAGGTTGCCAGTTCAGTTCCCACATGGGCCACTGAGCTGCGCCCCCCACAACTAGATTGAAGACAACTATTTGACTTGGAGCTGATGGGTCCTGGAAAAACACACTATTCTCCAATAAAATTTCTTAAAAAAAATAGAATTCCCGAGACTGGTGAGGGCTGGAGGAAGACACACCAGGGGGCTGTGGAGAAGCAGCTGGCTGGGTCAGGGCATGCTACAGACCCAGCCTCCACGGGGTGTCCACACCCCAAATCGGCTCAGCATGGGATGGCCGGGGCCATCTGGGCATCCCTGTCTTCGCCTTGACTGCTGAGAGCTCATCCTTATTATTATTCAGCCAGCTTGTCATCATCGTCCCCGCGAACGTTGTCACGCCTGCCGGCTAGCGCTGTCTTTAATGTCATGCTCAGCCTGATTGATTATCATCCTCACGGTCACCGGGTGCCATTGCTATTCCTGTCCCTGTGTTTACACGCCTCCTTCTTTCTTCCCGGTCAGTGGAAACACGCCCATCGCCGTGTGGGGGACTCACCTGGACCTCATACAGAACCCCCAGATCCGCGCCAAGCACGGAGGAAAGGAGCACATCAATGTGAGTCCAGGCTGTCAGGGGTCATGGGGGCTGCCCGCTCAGCATGTCACTTCCCTAAAGGGTGTGGGGCTCCCCATGTACTCAGGATGGCCCACGCTGGACGCTGATGACCTATCACATGCGACACCTGAGCACTGGGATGGGGGCATAGGGAGCAGACATGACGGCATTTGCATATCTTGGGGGACAGGCATGGAGGGGCAATCGCTTCTGGGTTTTTCTACCCTTATTCCTCCATCCTTCCGACCCCCCAGCTCTGCTCTTTAGCTTTGAGATGCCCCAGTCACTGCCACACCCACCATGGGCAAAGTGGAGCCAGGTGCCAGCTATAGAGCTTATTCCTTGAGTGCCCAGGCTGTATGGTCCTGGCTGCCACGGAGCTGTGACCCATGCATAACTGTGTGACAGCTCGGCGGTGACCCGGTGGGTGCGGTGAGGCCGTGTGTGTGCACAGATCGGCTGCATAGCCTCCCTGTCTACCTGTCCACAGCTCTGTGAGGTTCTGAACGCTACTGAAATGACCTGCCAGGCTCCAGCCCTCGCGCTGGGGCCCGACCACCAGTCCGACCTGACGGAGAGGCCCGAGGAGTTCGGCTTCATCCTAGACAATGTCCAGTCCCTGCTCATCCTCAACAAGACCAACTTCACCTACTATCCCAACCCCGTGTTTGAGGCTTTCGGTCCCTCGGGAATCCTGGAGCTCAAGCCCGGCACGCCCATCATCCTAAAGGTAAACGGAGGCAGGTGGGCAGGAGGTGGGAAGAAAGAAGGCCTCTGCGTAGAAGGAGGGGGCTTTTCCAGGCACAGAAAGAGGCCAGAAGCCATGGGCTCCTGCGAAATTTCGTGACTAGGGTCCCTAGCAGAGGTTGTGTTATAGCCCGGATCTGTACTGAGAGGGACACTGTCTTTACAGGCGGGTCCTGGAGACCTGATCAGGGCAGCCAGACCTTCCCTGGCCATCTGGTCCCCAGGCATTGATGTCCCTGAGTCCAGGACCTGAGAGGTCCAAGGCTCATACCGCTTCCTCCTATGCAGCTCTTTGCAAACCACAGGACGGGGTTCTTTTTTAGAGCCTGGATAGCAAGTTTTCAGTGTAACTGCTATGACGATTTCAGTTAACTGGGGGTGGCTGACTATGGCTCTGTGTTGAGGACTCTGAGGCTGCCTTTGGGATAAGCTCAGAAGGGTGCCTTGATTACTGGTTTCCCACTGAGGAAGGGGGAATGATGGTATATGTACTGTGACTTTTTTGGACTTATTATGGTGGCGTCTCCACCAGCTCACCCAGCAGGATGGGACCTCTGGGTGGGAGGACATAGCAGCCAACCAGTAGCTGTTACCCTGACTCTGGGGTGGAAACTGGGGCTTTTCTGTCCATCCAGGGCAAGAACCTGATCCCACCTGTGGCTGGGGGCAACGTGAAGCTGAATTACACCGTGCTGGTCGGGGAGAAGCCGTGCACCGTGACCGTGTCGGATGTGCAGCTGCTCTGCGAGTCCCCCAACCTCATCGGGAGGCACAAAGTGATGGTGAGGCTGGCAGGATCTCACCCTGGATGCCGCGGGCATAGGGGTGCTGGGTGTGAGTGGTCCACACCCTTCCTGGAGGGGATGCTGGCCGGCTCCCCACTTTCCTTCCAGCTACCCCACACTCTTAGTCCCTTCTTCCTGTCTTACTTCCAACTTCTATTTTCTGTACTGTAATTCCTTCTGTACCGGCTGATGCCACGATGAGAGCAACGCAAAACAGCACTGAATGATGTGCTACATCGCCCCTAAATTATATGCTAAATTATATGCACAAGGACCTTCCAGGAAAGGACCACACTGCTGACCTGTCACATTCCCATAATGTCACATTCTGTGCCTCCTGAAGGGTGACTCTTCGGGGAGTTAGTCATTGGTGTCAGACTTTTCAGATCCCAGCTGTGTGTGGTTTCCTTATGAGAATGGCTGTGTTAGCCCCTGAGTGAGAGAACGTGTGGATGTTCCTGGGGCAGGGGGGGGGGGCGGGCCATGCTGAGCCATCCAGACCCCCTCCCCGGCCCTCTCATCTGCGTTTACAACCAAGGATGGTGCTCCTCCCTAAAGCCATTTGCCTCAACAGACCCTGGTCACCAATCTAGGGGCTGTTCCCCAGGATGCTCTGTCCCCAACCCAGCTCCCTCTCGCCCGCTGTGTCCCCAGGCCCGTGTCGGTGGCATGGAGTTCTCCCCGGGGATGGTGTACATCGCCCCGGACAGCCCACTCAGCTTGCCTGCCATCGTCAGCATCGCCGTGGCAGGCGGCCTGCTCATCGTCTTCATCGTGGCCGTGCTCATCGCCTACAAACGCAAGTCCCGCGAAAGCGACCTGACGCTGAAGCGGCTGCAGATGCAAATGGACAACCTGGAGTCCCGCGTGGCCCTGGAGTGCAAGGAAGGTACTGAGAGGCCAGGTGGCCATGGCCCCACGCGGGAGGCTGGGTGTGCATGGGCGTGTGTGTCTCACACATAAGCAGCGGGCTGGGCAGCAGTGGGTGGTGCCGGGAGCTGGGTGCCCACCTGCAAAACCTCTAACTCTGGTCAATGAGCCTGTGCCCAGACCAAACCCGTATCCTGGCAGGCCCCTTCTGGACAAGGGCAGACAAGGCTAAGGCCTCTGTCCCTCTTCCTCGAGGTGTCCCCTGCCTTCTTTCCCCCAAGACAGACTGGGCTCCTTTCATATCCCACTAGAGCAGCTCCCAGCCCCAATTCCTGGCCAAATGGGTTTTGTGCTCCCCTCTCAGGGAGACCTTGGGGTGTCTTGACATGGCACCATCAAGCAACCTTCAGCTCTCTTCCTTTAGAAGGAGGTTAGGCTGTAGGGCTGATCTGAGATTCAGGAGAAAGAGTGTTTCACAGCTTGTATTTTTAAAAAATTACCAACGCCACCATAAAGTATTGTCACCCCCAGGATATCATTTCGTGAGTCACTCGGGAGGGTTGAGCTGGTTCCTTGCTGTAGATTTGCACACACGGAGTAAATCCAGCGTGTACCTGCGGCTCTCACATTCCCACCAGGAAAGCCTCTGCAACGGGGAGGTGGGCCCATTCCATCCCCTCGCTACATCCTGTAGCTGTCAGTGCAGCATCCGCCTTCTGGGACCATTAATTACCGCCTTTTATTATATTTACGCTGCTTTTTTTTTTCTTTCTCCGCAATGTAGTCTTTCCTCTAATTAGGTGTAGTGATTAGAATCTCTTTCATGTGTGGCAAGCACGAGGCTTTGAATGTTGGAGGCGCTGGGTGACTTGAAGGAAAGCTGCAGACTGATAAAAAGCCAGCTCCCTCCCTCTCCTCCCCACCAGCTGAGCACCCCAACTGCGAGGGACACTAAGAGGGAGGGTGAAGCCAGGCTCCTCTCAGAAGTTCCAGAGGAGGAAGAATTAGCAGTCAGACAGGGAGGCCAGCTGATTGTCAGCGGAGGCCCCAGGGGAGGGCCTTGGCTTCCGCTCTGGGGAGAGTCATCCCACGTGGGCAGAGACACGCAAAGCAAAGCTCACGTTGCATTAGCCACGGAAGTATTGTCCAGCAGTGCCCAGGGTTGGGGTGCAGGAAGAGAGCAGCACAGGAGAGGTTGCAGCAACCTCTCTGTGGTCCAGGTGGCTTCCCGTTGTTCTGTCAAACAAGCAGCATTGACATCCTCAAGCTCAGGAACATGAGAATCATTGGCCTGAAGTCAGCATGGCAGTGGGACCCTGTTGACAGGGCCTGGTGTGGCCGTGTTGTGTTCCTGGGACCACCAGAGCCCACTGGACACAGGGCTTGCTTTTTAAGGGTTTTTCTAGAGCCACACAGGCCTTGTGGGTCTCTTCTGAGTCCATAGAGTAGTTTGTCGCCATCCCTGTGTTTTTATATAAATAGAAAGATGTATTGTTTAGTCAGGGTCCATTGGCTGGTCTTCTTTGCCAACATGTGCTAATCCATTCTGATTATGTGTGCACATGTGTGCACGCATGCATGGGTGCTTGTGTTCATGCGTGCGTGCATGTGTGGATGTATGTGTGTGCATGTGCCGAGGAAAAAGGCGGAGGGGGGTACAGCTGGGTGCGTCACCTTTGACTGCCTCCCGCGGCAGAGTGTGGCCTGGGAGAAGGGCCGTGTCCATGACAGGGTGTGATCCCAGCTTTGGTGCCACAACCTCGGCCTGTGCACTGGACTTTCCCTGGGCTGGGGGAAGCTTACCACTCCGTGACCACCTGGAGGCCTGAGCTGCCTCCACAGACAGCGGTGCCCACACACAGCTCATAATTCACCATTGAGTAGCGTCACCTCGGGGAAGGACGAACAGAGGTCCACCCTGCGAATTTATACAGAGGGAACATATGAGTGTGGCGGAGCCTCCTTCTGGCCCCATTTGGTGGTTTGATGGCTCCAGTGAGTTACGTGGCCCAGGACTGGAACTTCGGAAGAAATTGTTCTTCACTCATATAAGGAAACTCACTATAAAACACAGAAATAGACCTTCCTCCCTGGAACCTCTCCCTGCCCATCCCTTGCTCCTCCATGTCCCTCCTACCCCGGTGCACATCTTGCAAACCACAGCCCTTCACCTTCAGATGGGGAGGCGCTCCTGGCCCGAGCAGCAGCCCAGACTTCTTCTTGGCCTGTTGCCAGCCATGTTTTGGAAAGGATTTGGCCCCAAACCACCTTCCTTGTGCTGCCCTTTTTTTCCCATGCCTGTGTCATTCACCCCAGTCACTTAAAACATGCCCCCTTCTTATGCCTGCACATCCGCAGCCATTGCTTATGTCCCCTAGGGGTCTGGGTGAGGGCTCTGAGGGCTCCGAGTCCAGGTCCCTGGTGGGCCTGCCCCATCCAGCAGTCTCATAGGTTTCTCCTGTGCCAGCCTTTGCCGAGCTGCAGACGGACATCCACGAGCTGACCAGTGACCTGGACGGAGCCGGGATTCCCTTCCTGGACTACAGAACCTATACCATGCGGGTGCTGTTTCCAGGGATTGAGGACCACCCTGTCCTCCGGGACCTCGAGGTGAGAAGCCGGGCCTCCGGCCCCGCCCTTCCCCATCAAGGTGTTCGCACAGAGACAGGCGCCCGTGACCTTCAAGCCCAGCCCCCTTATTCAGAGGTGAGAAAGCTGAGGTCAGGGAGGGGACACAACCTGCCTAAGGTCCCCCTGCTTTCCAGCACCAGCCAGTCATTCTGGAAAAGATGAGGCCACACCAGGAAACCTCGGAGCAGAGAAGGGGGTAGGGCTTCGGGTAGTAGGGGGTCATGGGTCCCTTGAGAATTGAATGGAAACTGAAGATCCTCTCCCCAGAAAAACTGTATGTTCACACAGACATAAGAACTCTGACAAACAAATGTTGGGAGGTCATGGACCCTTGTTTAAGACACCACGACATAAGGATCTCAGCACCTAGTTGGTGCTCAGTAAACCCATGTGGAAAAGGTAAGTGATGCGCTGGGAAGGGGTATGGAAACGAGAGTGATAAGAACCTAGCGGTCTTTTGTGCCAGCCCAGACCTTATCTGTCAACCATTTTCTCCTTCTTCCTGTCTAGCGTAGGGTCTGGCTGATGCATATATTCCTATTACGCTTTGTTCTGAAAGGGATTTAGAATGACTTGTAAAGATAAAAACTAGAAAAAAGTGAAAACTGTAAATGAGGGCAACATAACCATCCTAAAGAATATTCACGTAGCCTCTGACGAGTTCAATGTACCCGAACGTTCACGTAGCCTTCCGAGAGCCCTCGGAAGTAGCTATACTCTTTGTACAGGAGCCAAAACTAATGGCACAGAGAGCTCTGGGCCACACAGCTGGGAGGGAGCAGGCCAGGGTTTGAGTCCAGGCGGCTGGGCTTCAGAGGCCCCCTCCCAGCAGCGAGCCTGTGCACTTGACTTCTAAGGCGCCACGTCAGCGTCACGCCTGATGCTCTGGCTACTTCTTAGGATGGATGGAAGGCTGTGGCCCAAGTAGCAAGAGAAAATAGAACTAGTCCCAAGATTTATCTTGTCTGTAAAGAAAACCAGACCCATCGCTCAAGACTTGTGCAGTTTTGCAGGTACTGACCAGAGGAGAGGGAATGTCATCAATGGGTCCTGCAAAGGGAGGTAGAGGCGATGTACCTGTGTAGGAACTTCTGTACTTATGGCCCCCATTATAAATCACATCATGTTCTTCCATGGCCTCCGGCCTCGTCTGGCACCTTAAAATTTCCCCTCCAACCGGCATGCTGTCTATTTCCCTGGCCTTCATCACAAGGGGGCCCTTTCTGATCCAAGTCTCGGCTCACAAAGAGGTGACCAGGCAGCTTCACCATTTCTCCTGAGTGGAAGCCCACGAAATGGCTAATTGTCAGGCGTGGGCTCTGAATCAAGCAAGTCACCCAGCTTTGCTTTTGAATTGTGATAAAATAGACATCATATAAAATCTCAACCATTTCTAAGGGTGCAGCTCCGTGGCATGAAGTACATTCACATTGCTGTACAGCCATCACCCCCACCCAACTCCAGAACTTTTTCATCTTCTCCAACTGAAACTCTGTCCTCATGAAACAATCACTCCCCATTTCCTCCTCCCCATCTCCTGGCAACCACCATCTACCTTCTGTCTCTATGAATTTGACGAGAGTACCGCATAGAAGTGGAATCGTACAGTAGTTGTCCTGTTGTGACTGGTCTATTTCACTTAGCAAAATGTTTTCAAAATTCACCCATGTTGTCACATGGGACAGAACTCCTTCCCTGTATAAGGCTGGTCCATTGTATGTATGTACCACATTTTGTTTATCGCGTGTCGATGGGCACTTGGGTGGTTCCCCTTTGGGCTGTTGTAAATAACGCGCACAAGTAACTCTTTGAGACCCTGCTTTCAATCTTTGGGGATATACCCAGAACATACGACTGTTTCATTTCCATGAAACTCACGAATGAATTGCTTGCAGACAGAAATCCACTTTTACTGTCCCACGTGAGCCTGGGGGATGGGAGACCTAGCCTCCTACGCGAGATCCAAGATCTTGTGTAGATCATTGTTTTCTCGTTTCTTTCCAACCCCTCTTTGCTGCCAGAATAGTATCTCCTTGTTGGTTTTGTGAGCGCAGAAGCATTCCCAGGGAAGACACTGGCTAATCTAAAGCAGTGTTTGCCAACCTCTTCAGCCGCTTGGATGCCTGCCCACTGGGTGGGCATGAGGGGTGGAGCCGTGTGAAGAAGGCGGGGTCCTTTGGCCTCAGGCCGTCCTGGACAGGAGGCCACCAGGCACCTGTGGGGCCATTTGGGTGAAGTCTAGGCATTTGGGGAAGGGGCTACTCAGGCACTGGTCACACACCAATCCTTTAAAAACAGAAAGCACACAGCCACCACACACCCCATTTTCAACCCATCATTGCCTCCTAAACTCTACCCTATTGGGTTACAATTAAAATTTACTATACAGTTTTATACTCACAGACTTCAACTGAATTATCGAACCATCTGGTGAATAAAGAAAGTCTTGTTTCAGGGTAGCTTTTGTGTCGGGGGGCGGGGTGGCACGTTACAAAGAGGAATTGTTCTGGATCCTCTTTACCGAGATGCTACCCTTCCATCTCCCCCTTCATAAAACGGGGAGCAAGCCCTCCCTTCAGCACCCCAAGACACTGTGCCAATGCGTGAGGTATCCGGGAAGCCCTCAGGCAAAAGGGATCAGTGAAAAGCAGCCAGTGGAGCAGGAGAGTCAGGTAATAAAACCACTGTTTAAGTGCTCGCTGCGTGCACCAAGCACTTTACATACACTGTCTTATTTAATGTCCATAAAACATTATGACACAGGCACTCATATTCTCATTTTATAGACGAAGGAATAGAGCCCAGAGGTGACGGAGCTTTCCTCCACATATGAGTCAGTTCATCTCTCTAAGTCCAAACCCCAGGCTGCTGCACCCTTTCTCCCCAGGTGGCTCTGCAAACCCTTCATTCCCAGGGCCCTGGGGTCTTGCTGCCCAGATGTGAGTGCAGCCATGGAGGGAAGTTCAGAGCACGTCCTCACGCCAACTGTGCCATCTGGCCCGTCTGGGTCCCCTTCCTCGTCTCCAGGTGCCACAGTGCCAAATTTTTACACGGCTCCCCTGCCCTCCATGGCCAACCTGAGCTGCTGGGAGCCCTGCACGAGAGACTGCAGGGAGGACTCAGACCTGGCTTCCAGTCGCCTCCCAGGCCCAGGGTGGGACTAGACGTGGCCAAGGATGGAGAAGACGAAAGGGGGCTCGAGAGCCGAACCAGCTTGGGTTTAGAAATCCAGCACCGCCCTTCACCAGCTGGCTGGCCTTGGGACAACTGCAGTAGCTCCTCTGAGAGGCCATTAGGAGAAGCGGCTAACCCTTGCAAGGTCATGAGAAGGATTAGTTGGAACAATGATGTGATGCACCAACACTGCTCACTGTACATGGTGGACGCCCAAGAAATGACATTACCTGTTATCAGGATGAGTTGTGGAGATGCTGTTCTAAGGGGTTTGAAGGACAGAGGAAGTAACACATGTACACATGTGTGTGCGGGGGTGGTGACAGCTGGCGGGAGACGGACAGCTGGGCAGATAGAGAGGCCCAATGTCTCCCTTGTCCTTCCCTCCTCAGCCGCAGTGAAGTAGGGAAGGAGGGGATGGAGGGAGACGGGGAAGCCAGACAGGAGGCAGTCAGAGCCTGGGCCCCACTTTGGGGACGGTGGGGTTTCCCAAGATGAGCTGCAGGGGGCCCCTGGCCAGTGGCCCTCCTGGTTCTGGCAGGTTCTCGTCTCTCCTGAGAACTGCCTTCTGCTAGGGCTTTCCAAGCACCACACGCAGAGCAGGAAATTGAAATGCACTTGACTAGGAAACACCTTTGTATCCTCCTAGCTTCCTGACCTGTGGGAGGTGCTGACCCCAGGCAACTGGGGTTCAATGAGAGCACTTCTGACAGAGTTCAGGGGTGGGTCCACAGGGCTCCTGCCGGCTGACTGACCATCTGCGGGCAAGGCCTGACCATCCGCGGGCAAGGCCTGGGTCTGACTGGTTTCTGCCTCCAGCCAGCACCTTGCCCGAGCCTAGAACACAGGGTCTCCCTAATTGAATGGCGTGAATGGTCCAGCTTCGCAGCTGCCACCGTTTTGGACCTTGGGCACACATGGCTTTCTCTGTCTGTCTCCATCTTCCCCCATTTAAAACCTCTTGTGTAAAGCAGAATGAAATTGCTGCCGTTGAGTCGCTCGACAGTGTGTCAGGCTGTGCTTCACAGGCACCCCACGTCGGCTCCTTCTGTGCTCCCAGGAGCCCCAGGAGATGGCCGGATGTGGCACCGATAGCCCGGCCGGTTCACAGCTTGGCTCTGACACTTGTCTGTCTTGGGGTCTCAGGGAAGCTCCTTATCCTCATGGGGCCCTGGGGCAATAATGGTACTTACCTCATTGGGTGTCTGTCGTGGGCTAAATGGGTCAGTATTTCTAACGCATGCAGAAGCGTGCTCAGCATTGACTGAAATCTATACACATATTAGCTATGACCCCTTCACTTGGTTGATGAAGAAACTGCGTCTACGGAGGGTCCCACAACTAATAGGTGACTGTGACAGGGTTAACCCAAGCTCGACTGACTCTGAAACCATGTTCTTTACTATGACATNTGCACTTGACTAGGAAACACTTGTGTATCCTCCTAGCTTCCTGACCTGTGGGAGGTGCTGACCCCAGGCAACTGGGGTTCAATGAGAGCACTTCTGACAGAGTTCAGGGGTGGGTCCACAGGGCTCCTGCCGGCTGACTGACCATCTGCGGGCAAGGCCTGACCATCCGCGGGCAAGGCCTGGGTCTGACTGGTTTCTGCCTCCAGCCAGCACCTTGCCCGAGCCTAGAACACAGGGTCTCCCTAATTGAATGGCGTGAATGGTCCAGCTTCGCAGCTGCCACCGTTTTGGACCTTGGGCACACATGGCTTTCTCTGTCTGTCTCCATCTTCCCCCATTTAAAACCTCTTGTGTAAAGCAGAATGAAATTGCTGCCGTTGAGTCGCTCGACAGTGTGTCAGGCTGTGCTTCACAGGCACCCCACGTCGGCTCCTTCTGTGCTCCCAGGAGCCCCAGGAGATGGCCGGATGTGGCACCGATAGCCCGGCCGGTTCACAGCTTGGCTCTGACACTTGTCTGTCTTGGGGTCTCAGGGAAGCTCCTTATCCTCATGGGGCCCTGGGGCAATAATGGTACTTACCTCATTGGGTGTCTGTCGTGGGCTAAATGGGTCAGTATTTCTAACGCATGCAGAAGCGTGCTCAGCATTGACTGAAATCTATACACATATTAGCTATGACCCCTTCACTTGGTTGATGAAGAAACTGCGTCTACGGAGGGTCCCACAACTAATAGGTGACTGTGACAGGGTTAACCCAAGCTCGACTGACTCTGAAACCATGTTCTTTACTATGACATACGTGACGCTTCCTCCCTAAAACCTGACGCATCTAACCCGTGGGGGAGACACAGCCCTCAAGATGTGGCCTCGATGGCATCTCCTTGGATGTCCCTGCCCCCCCTCCAGCACCCCACCCACAAGAGATGCCCTGCTCTGTGTCCTCAGAGGGCAGAGGCTGTGCTTTAGTTTTTAAGTAAATTTGTTTTAATGGAGAAACAATGCACACAGTGCAACACATGTTCCCCAAGTGAACACAACCATCCAGCCACACACAGATCAAGAAGCAGATATTATGAGCCCCCCAAAAGTCCCTGCATGCCCCCTCCCATCGCAACCACTCCCTGAAAAATCAGTTTTCTACCACCATTGATTAATTTTGGTTTTTTTTTAATCTTTATTGAGATAGGGAACTGTACAGTCCGCCCTCTTTCATGTCTGACTTTCTTCATTCAGTGTCTGCAAGGTGCATCCCTGTTATGATGAGTGGCAGTGGGTCCTTCATTCCCACTGCTGTGTGGGATTCCACTGGGTGACCGCAGGTCCTCAAGCTGTACCGCTGCTGCTGGACACCTGGCTGTGTGTCCAGTTTGGGGCCCTTACAGTGTCACTGTGCCCATCCGTGTGCATCTTAGCGATGCGTCCTCCCTGCCTGGCTGAGTCACTGGCTTGTGTTTGCCGAGCGGGTGGTGCCCCGTGCACCCTTGCATGGACGGATCTCCCAGTGACCAGGAGATGCAGGCAGGAAGATAAAAGTTTCTTCCCCCTGATGGAGGAAGTCTCCCAGGTCTCAGAAAGTGTCTGAGAAAGCATCCGATGCTGGAGTTAGGGAGTGCATGAGAGACTGTTGGGCTCCATCTTCCCATTTATTTAGGTGAATGAACTTGGGTCCCCAGAGCAGTAAAGGGACTTTTCCAAGTTCACAGGGCAGGGGTGTCAGAGCCCATGTGGAGCCCACAGTCCGGGCTGTGAGGCCACTGGTCTGTCAAGAGGACCCACAGGACTGGAGACAGGTCAGCATTAGCCAGAAGCTCAGGCCTGGTGATCCCTACAGCAGCCTGGCCTCATGGGGTTCCCACCACAGCTGGGATGGTGATCAGCGTGGCATGGGAGCCTCTCATCAACTCTGCGTTACCCCCAGGGAAGAGCTTAGGACGTGGAGCTGGCAGAAGTGTCGTCAGATCCCAGCGTCACCATTACTAGCAGTGATGCCTCACTTGATTCATCTCTAAAACTAGAGACAGGGACCCACTCATGGGCTGTGAGGAGGCTAAGTAGACACCTGGCACTAGATAAGGACTTGATGGCGTTAGCCCATTGGGCTGTGGCTGCAGTAGGCGACTGGTGCAGCGGGATGGTCAGCGGTGCACACAGCCCACCCCGTGGGGGCGTCACTGGGGCCCGGCCGGCCTCGCTTTCACAGGTGGCAGTCAGAACCCCCACCCCCCGGGTCTCCTCTGCAGGTTCCGGGCTACCGGCAGGAGCGCGTGGAGAAAGGCCTGAAGCTCTTTGCCCAGCTCATCAACAACAAGGTGTTCCTGCTCTCTTTCATCCGCACGCTCGAGTCCCAGCGCAGCTTCTCCATGCGTGACCGCGGCAACGTGGCGTCGCTCATCATGACGGTGCTGCAGAGCAAGCTGGAATACGCCACCGACGTGCTGAAGCAGCTGCTGGCCGACCTCATCGACAAGAACCTGGAGAGCAAGAACCACCCCAAGTTGCTGCTCAGGAGGTGAGAGGCGGGCAGAGGGGTGGCGGAGGGGGGTGGGCGCAGGTCAGACATCCCCTATCCTGCCCACTCGGCCTCCCAGGGAGGCGGGCAGAGCTCCCAGAAGGAGCACCCAGGTTCCCCGAGGTTAGGCACCCAACAGCCCAGAGCCCGGGTGCTGCCCACGCATCCCGGGAAGAACCTATCACGTTGGTACCTGTGAACTGACCATGGGCCATCTGCTCACTGCTGTTTTCCTTCTGCCTCTGTATCTGCTCTTCATTATTCTCTCTCTACCCGTATACTCCCCTGATTTGCACCCTTTCTACTGGGATTCTTCTCTTGTGGAGTCTTCAGAGGTCACTTTTCCATACCCTGGCTTTATCTAAATCAGACCGTGAATTAGGAGAGCTGCCTCAGGGCCCCTCTGGGAACTCACCATCTCAAGATGGGAAACTCGAACCTCTTGCAGCGCTCACTGCAGTCCGGGACCAGCCGTGGAAGCGTCACCTGGGAGCTTGTTGGAAATGCGGCCCCTCAGGTCCCCCCTCCCACACCCACCGGGTCAGAATGCACATTTTAACTAGAAGTGTAAGTGACCTGAATGAGTATTAAAGTCTGAGAAGCACCGGCCCAGCCTGTGTTTGATTCGAAGCTCTTTGGTGGCAACTTGTCCTAAGCACCACAAGCAAGAGCTTCCGGCACAGGCTCCAGCCTCCACGTGGTCCAGGGTCGCGGCTCCACACAGTTGGGTGTCTCATCCTGGACACTGTTGAAACCCAAGTGGTCACCTATGAAGACATAACCAGATCCCGTGGCTTTGGCCTCATAGGAAAAAGAGACTCTGACTCTGTCCACACTGCCACTGGCACTTTCCATGTCTTGAAGGCCATTTCTCCTCTCAGCTGTTCTTCCAGTGTTTCTAGCCTTCCCGTAGATGAACATGGAAAGCTCCCAGGTCAGGCCCTCTTCCTGGACCACCATTTATCGCCTGCCTCCCGTCCTTGGTCTCTGGGTCTGACACAGGACCTCCTGCTTGGTCCAGTGCCTAGATTGGCCGTTCAGAGTGTGGACGCCAGGCTCTCTCCTGGCGCCGGGGGCATTTGCCTGCACAGCTGCAAAAGGTTGCTTCATATGAGAGCAATCATACAGCTTAGGAAGCAGCAAGGTAGAGCGTTTTGATTTTTGTTTTACTTCCACCACGCAGCCACCCACCGGCATAATTCTAAGGTTGCCACCGCCGCGCCAGAGTTCCCACCGACAATTTCCCGGCATGGTCTTGCTCTGTATCTCGGTGTCTTCTCTTCTTGTTTTCCATTTGCTCTCTCCCTTCTGCCCTCCTCCATCGCGTTTTTTGTGGGGTTTTTTTTTTTTCTTTTGCCCTTGGCTGCCCCACTCCTATCCATAGTTTTCCTTCTTTTCTCCTCTCAGCTTCACTTTGTGCTGGCAGCTGCCCAGCTGCCTTGGGAATGTAGTTATTAGTATCCTCAGGCAACCGCAACTTTCAACTCTATCTAAACATGCCTACATGGGCTGGTTTCTCTCTGGAGCTGGCCACACACTTAGTACAAGTTTCCATATAGTTTGTTTTCGCTACATGGATGCAACCAAAGTGGCCCTTGGCCAGTAGCGCTGCTGCAGTGTCTTCACTTCCAGAGTGAAAGAATAAATGGACTTCGGTAGCAGCATGAAAGATGTAAGTTAGACTTAAGAAGGAACTTCCTGTCATTTGAAACACTAGAATGGTTCGCAGGGGAAGTTCCAAAGGATGTGGAAGCCTTTGAACTAGGACAATTTGGGCATCTCTTGGGATGAACTAGGAGTAAATCTCCATGTTGCTGACAGCTCCGGGAGTTTTCAGCTTAGGTGATGGGGTCAGTCTAATCCATCCGGGCTACCATGGTTCACTTCTCCTGCTACCTTCCTTCCTATCCTCTGCCAAATTAGTATCTCCTTAGGTTTTTTTTGTTTTTCTTTGCTCACCCAAAAGAACCATGAATTTCTCTAAGGCTGTACTGCCCAATGTGATAGCTATGAGCCACGTGTGACTTTTTAAATCTAAATTATTTAATGGTAAAGCAAATGAAATTTCAGCTCCTCAGATACACTAGCCGCACTTCAAGTGCTCAGTAGGCACATGCGGCTGGTGGCTACCCTATCAGACAGCACAGAGCAAAAGCATTTTCAACATCACAGAAAGTGCTATTGGACAGAGCTACTGTAACCCATTCCCACCAACACCCACCCAGGAGCCTGACGCCCAGAATGTCATCTCCCAGCTTTGTAGGCAAAGCTTGTCTTATCACTACGCAGTGTCTAGGAGTCCATAGACTCAAGTATTCGTTAAGATTTGGCCTGAAAGTCTTAAGCAGCAAGATCCAGGCAGACTGCTTCCCCTGCCTTCCCACTGGGGTCTGACCAGCTGTTTCTGTCTTTGTCTTGCTTTGCTGGTTCCCTCGGTGACGGGTGACAGGACTGAGTCGGTGGCCGAGAAGATGTTGACCAACTGGTTCACCTTCCTGCTCTATAAGTTCCTCAAGGTAGGATTGGCCGTGCGGTTATCGCTGGCCTTGCCTCAGTTCCTCCCCACACACCTCACCCCCACCCCAGCCTGCGTCCTCCCCGGCCTGCCCCATTTCCCTCCATGGCCCCCAAGTCCACACTCCCCAGGGCCAGGCTCTCAGAACCCCACCGAGAACTGCGTTAAGGGAACAGGCCCCTGACCATCTCAGAAGACAGAGCCTCACACTCAGCCCTAACTTGAGAGACAGATGCATGCAGGCTGCTTTCTCCCCAGTGCGGGGACGTGAGCCTCCAAGCGGACCCTGCGTGAGCTCTTAAGCTAAAAACAATTCTTCCCTTACTTCCCTGCTTTCCTTCTTCCTCTCCCTCCTGCCTCTCCCAGCCCCAGGCTTACTGAGGCCAACAAGAGTCTCTAGTACAGAAGCTGCCTGTGTTGGCAGATAAACCGACAATGTGCCTGGGAGCTGCCCGGTGTCCAGTTATTAACTCATTTGCTGCGGAGTTTACACCACCGAGGCCTGACCTTAATCTCAGGATGGGGCTGCAGAGAAAGCAGGGCGGGGTGAGGTGGGGAGAAGGAACAGAGAGGGGGATGAGAGGCAGGGAAGAGAAGAGAACTGTGGGACAATGAGGGGCCCAGGTCAGGATGGGAGAAGGCACTGCGGGCCCAAGAGCCAGGAGAGGCACCTCTCTGAAGGAGGGAGTTGAAAACCCAAGAGTGAAGCAGGTGAGAGCAGCGGGAGAGAACCGAAACAGGAGCGGACAGGAGCCCTTCAGAGAAGCCTGGGAGGCTGGGTTGTGCGCACCTGCGGCCCAGCGCCCACCCAGCATGGTTTTTCTCCACGTCCAGGAGTGTGCCGGGGAGCCCCTCTTCTCGTTGTTCTGTGCCATCAAGCAGCAGATGGAGAAGGGGCCCATCGATGCCATCACGGGTGAGGCCCGCTACTCCCTGAGCGAGGACAAACTCATCCGCCAGCAGATCGACTACAAAACCCTGGTAAGCCAGCCTTCACAGCTTTTCGCCCTGGCTCTGGTCGGCGGGCTTGGGTCCTGCACAGCCGCGGACCAACAGAGGGGACGGTGGAAATGCTGAAAAGCCACCTCTCCAGATGTGCCCTCGGCAAGGGGTCATCCAGGTGTTCCACCTGTGCCTGTCACCCCAGTCTTCCTCTTTACCACCACACCAGAGCATCGGGATTTGGGGACCCATAGCTCAGACACATCTGAGCAATACTTCGGCAAACCTGAACCAGGGGGTCCTAAGCCCCTGCCAGCAGCCGAGTGGCTGCCTTCTCATCAGCTCGCCCAGTGTGGACAGGGAACAGTTCCATGCAGATAGCAAGTGGGGGACACAGGAGAGGAAGCCAGAAAGAGTGCCTTGTGACTCTGAAGCCCACCTCTGCCCACGGATCTAGGTTCCAATATGCTCCTGACTCGAGCCATAGATGGGAGGCCAGGAAGGCCTAGTGGTGAAGGCGTTTGTCCAGGGAACGTGGGGATCCCCTCGGTCAAGGTTAGACCTCCTTCTCCTGATGGAAACTGTCAACCTAGGAGGCAGCAGAGCTCAGCGTATAGGAACAGGGCGCTTGGAGACAGGCAGGTAGATTGGAGCCCTGGCTGTGCTCCTAACCAGCTGGGTGGTTTGGATGAATCTTAATCTCTCTTGAGTTTAGGTTTCTTTTTTTTTTTTTTTAAGGAAGTTTATTTTTAGAAATTGTGTTGGGGAACAGTGTGTTTTTCCAGGACCCATCAGCTCCAAGTCAAGCAGTTGTTTCAATCTAGTTGTGGAGGGCGCAGCTCAGCTCCAAGTCCAGTTGTTGTTTTCAACCTAGTTGCCGGGGGCTCAGCCCACCATCCCATGCGGGGATTGAACCGGCAACCTTGTTGGTAAGAGCACGCACTCTAACCAACTGAGCCATCCAGTCACCCACTGGCAGCTCAGCTCAAGTCATCTTCAATCTAGTTGCAGAGGGTGCAGCTCACTGGCTCATGTGGGAATCAAACCAGCAACCTTGTTGTTTCAGAGCACGTGCTCTAACCAACTGAGCCACCCAGCGGCCCAGAGTTTGGGTTTCTGTATATGAAAAAGTGGGGATGGTATGAACTACGAAGAAGGAGTGACAGTAGTACATTGCTCTGGAGTGGTGCAGGGGAGGGGCTGAGTCCAGTGTAAGCGCTCACTCCTGCTGGCTCGCAGGGGCCCTGCCACTTCATTCCCGCCATGCTGTCTACTGGCTGCCCCATCTCTCCAGGTCAGGGAGCTCACTCTTGGACATTTTTAGAGAGAGTTGTGATCTCCCGCCAGGCCTTCTCTAAGAAAGGGGAGAGAAAGGGGAAGGAGGGATAGAAAAATAAGATAAAAGATGAGTACTGGGAGTGATGCTTGAGTGGCACCCAAGAAGGGAGGTCAGAGAACAGATGGGATTTTAAATGCACAAGGGGGAGGTGAGGCCCTCAGCAGGCCAGGCTGGGGCATGGCAGAGCCGGGCAGAGGCAGTGAACCAGGCTGAGTCCCAGACCCCGTGGCCACCTGGGGTGACAGTCCTTGCTGCTCTGAACAAACCTGTCCTTGCTGTCTGGGAATGAGGTAACCGTGACGCACCTATGTCACTCCATCTTCCGAGGCCCCGGAAGCCTACCAGGCATCTTAACAGAGTTGCTGGGCTTGTCTCAGTGGATGAGGCGTCAAAGGACCAGCGTGGGACCGGAGCCGCTGCTTCCTCGCAGGCACGGGCTGCTCCTGAGAAGAGAATTAGAGGCTCCGATTAAAATGCAAAAGGGGGGAAAAAATCCTTCCAAAAATAGAGACCCCTAAATAGACTTCTTAATGAGCTAGAACTCCTGTTGAAATGTCTCCTGCCTGAACGCTCCCCTTCACTCCCCTTCTCATCAGCGGCTCCCCAGTATCGAATCCAACACCATGAGTGGCAATAATGCTCTGTCCCCAAATTGCAGGGTCCTTTTATTCCAGAGGCCACACTATTGTTAGCACAGTGCGCGCGACTTAAAGAGACCGTGGGGAGATGGGAGTGGGTCTGGAAAGCTCATCCATTAAGATGGAAACACGTGGGAAAGAGGCACCGTGAGGAAAGGGGAGAGAAACTGCAATCATTTTGCCCAGAGAAGAAATGGCTGCTGAGAGATGGAGGCAGCCAGTGAAAAGAAACTCCCACGTGCAGAAGGGGGAGTAGCCCTGTGGCTGGTGAGGAGGGGAAAGGGAGAAAATGTGTTAGATAGCAGCAGACAGGACCAACCGGAGACTCCTAGAGGAAGGGATCCCATATAAAAACACTGCTGTGGAATTCTGCGGTGACTGGAGGGCGCTTTGGGCCGACTGATGGTAACCTTGACCTTGGCAGGAAGGACAAGGTTACAAAGAGTGAGACAGGTGCTAAGAGGCTCCGGGACGCATCACTTCATAGCAGGTGCGCCTCTTCAGTGTTGAGTGATAGTTACTCGGCCTAGGGCATCACCGGGGAGCCTGCCAGAGCACTAGAGCAGGGGTCGGCAAACTTTTGAGATGGAAGAGCCGCCAGGGGTCAGCAAACTGTGGCTCACGAACTGTGGCTCTGAAGTAAAATTGAAAATGAAAATAAAACTATCATAGTTTCATGTATAAAATTTTTAAAGGATATTATTCACATAATGGTGATTATGTAAAAATATATTTATGGCTCTCGAATAACTTTTAAATTGTTGCGAGGGACAAGATTGGCTCTTCCAGGGGTCAGCAAACTTTTGAGACAGAATGTATATCCAAAGAGCCACATGTGGCTCGCGAGCCGCGATTTGCCAACCCCTGCACTAGATGCTCACCTAGGAACCTGCCACAATGCAGAATGTCAAGCCCCATCTTCGACCTCCTGAGTCAGAATCTGCATTTTAAAGAAACCACTCAGTCATTCTACTCACATTGAAGTTTGATAAACACTGACCTAGCAGAGAAAAACACCAGGAAGTTTGCTCAGAACCTCTCCAAGGGCCCTGGGACTAGGGGTGGGAAGGGAACTCCCGGCTGCAGCTATGGCCTGGCCAGTGTGGCAGGGAAATCCTGTTTTTCAGTGGGGCCGCTGCTTCATCTCAGGATGCCATGAGCATCCCATGGAGTTCTCATAGGACCAGCAGGAGCCCCTGGGGCAGGTAGAACTGTCAGGAGAGCATGCTTAGGTGACAGCCTCTGCCTTGTGGTCTCTCGTGGTCTCTTGCGGGAGGAAGCCCAGAACCAGCTGCATTGCTGCCTAGGGGAGCCTGAGCTACCCCACCGCTCGCCCAGAGCACAGGACAGCAGGGCTGTCCAGGGCAGCACAAAGCTGTGCTTGGTCACTGAGTGGGGGGCAGGGAGGGTCCAGGAAGGAGTGACCGAGAGAGAGAGAGAGAGAGAGAGAGAGAGAGAGAGAGAGTTCCAGAGTTCCTTCCTCCATTGTTTTCAGATTAGAACACTTTGAGAATGAGCATTTGGTTTTATAGATTTAGGAGACTTTTTCTTCTTCTTCTCCTTAATGGGATAAGCATGTCCCCATCTGAGCTCACAGCAGTCTGGTTGGTAATGAAAGGCAGGTGTCCAGGGGCCATAGTTCTGATTGTCACCACATGGAGCAGGAAGGGGTGGCGGTGGGAGGAAGGCTGTAGTCTGAGCCTGCAAACCAGACGTGCAGTTGGGAAATGATTGGGGGGCGGGGGGCACAGCAAGACTCTAGCAGAGAGGCACAGAAGGCTCAGGCAGCAGCGCTGGCAGGAGGGCGCAGGAGCCCAGCATGGCGTGGCTGCTTGGCAGCACCTGTGCCCCACGGCACCCACCCCCATCCACCACGGCTCGTCCAAAGCCCACAGAGTCTTGTCCATGTAGACAGAGCCCACTCTGAGAACAGCAAGAGAAGGAAAGCCTTTGGACGCGGCTCGGCACGTTTTAAAGGTGCTTTAAGCCGAGTCTTAACTGTTCGGAAGCGTTCCAAAAAGAGACGTTGAGGCTCTGAGCCAGGGTGGCCTCTTCCCCTAACAGAAGGTTTCAGGTTCAGAGCCAGGAAGGTCCCTCCGGGGGCCTGAACCTGCAATTTTTAAAGGGCGCCTTTTTATTTTTAAAGAACACATTGTGCTTCTTATAGCCTCTGCAACCACTCATCAGCCCGAAACCCTCACAGAAAACCCGAAGTTTATGAAATCTTTTGAGAAAGGAGCCAGATTCCCATTAGTGGGAGTGTGTGTGTGTGTGAGAGCGAGCGAGTGACAAGAGAGACAGACTGACACACACGGGTGGAGGCAGGGGTTTTCAGAGGTGAGCAAGGGTCTGGATGAGCACCTGAGAAGGCGCCTTGTACATGCATGTGCGTGCGTGTGTACAAGCTTATGTGTATATGCCGTAGGGTCAATTGCCGCACAGATTCCCCACACTGCCTCCTTGTACTTCGTCCTCTTGGAAAAAAATCAGGATTTTAATGATGTTTGTTAAGTGTGCAGCTCCTACTCCTGGAATGAGTCTGAAGCCACGAAACCTTCCTGCTGCTTGTAGGATGGCAGGAGGGCTTGGTGGGAACGCAGCTGGGTTTGGGCTCTCCCCACCCCCCTCTCCAGTCCAACCTGCAGAGGCAGAACTGGCCAGGACAGGAGCCCAGAATGCCGCTGGGAATCTCAAAGCAATTCCTGCACGTGCCCTCCCCCACGTGCCTTCTCTCTCCCCTTCCCCCAGGTCCTGAGCTGTGTCAACCCTGACAATGTCAACAGCCCCGAGGTGCCAGTGAAGAGCCTCAACTGTGACACCATTACTCAGGTCAAAGAGAAGATTCTAGACGCCATCTTTAAGAATGTACCCTGCTCCCACCGGCCCAAGGCTGCAGATATGGACCTGGGTGAGTCGGCTGCCCACCCAGGGGCTGTCCTGAGAGTTGGAAGCTGCTCTTAGCAGCCAGTGGAGCTGGGGAGCAGGCAGCATGCATGCGCAGCCAGAGGGTGTGTCTTTATGGCCACTGAGTGAGCAAAAGGCTCAGGGGGAATGCAGTCTGCTGGCCATCTGATGGCCTCTAGGGTCTTTTGGGCAGCTGGGGGGGTGGACCAGCTGGGGGGGGGTGGTCGTGGAGGTGTCATCTCTGCAGTGAGGAGGATTTAGTCTGATCTGTGTGATCCAAGGTCTCGCCACCGCCTTGGCTGTGCCCCAGGCTCTGCCCTGCCCCTCTGTTCTGTCCTGTAATTTTTGCTGACGACCTAAGGCATAAGGGATCTGGGTCAGGGATGGAGGATGGAGGAAGGAACAGAGAAAAATGAGCTCTGACAGCCTACTGGGGAGCAGGATGACATTTCATTTGAATGTTCCATGAATAGATCGCATAGCCTATCTAAACAAGGGCATGCCACTTAGGGCCAGCTGTATTGAGACCCAGTTACGGTTTGCCTGAGTGTTTAATCAGATATCGTCCTGGGGAAATCCTAGCGGGGAGTCCCAGGGCTGAAGAGAGGCACTTTGGCATCATGGGATGGTGTCAAATGCACCTGGTTGCGAGTCCTGGAGCTGCCAAGTCCTAGCTGTGTGACCTTGGTCAAGTTACTTCACCTTTCTGTGCCTTAGTTTCCTTGCCTGTAAAATGGAGGTAATAGTGCCTGCCTCGTTGTAAGAATGAAATGAGATGATGCATGTAACACCTTTAAATGCTGTGCCTGGCCCATAGTACCCCCGAGAGAAGGCAGCAACCAGCACCTGCCTGAGGGCGGCACTGCCCCAAGCGAGGGGCCGCTCAGGCCAGATATTGGCCACCTGCTTCCGAGGAGGGCCTGGGTCTCCTGGGACACCATGCTCACCATAACTATTCAGGTTCAAAGAGGACATAGGGGCCACCTCTCCTATCACAGGTGCTGCTCAGGAGCACCCAGAGGGCAGCCTGAGGGGACATGGCCTCCGTGGAAGGTGAAGGGTGAAGGGGGAGAAGCCAGAGAAGGGGTGGTGGGAAGTTTGAGCCTCAGGGCCCATCCCCCTGGGGAAGGGACATCCTGCTAAACTCCTCACAAAGCCCTCCCATCCTGGGTGCTTTTCTGAGGAATATCCTTTTAGTTTTTTTCTATTAAATCCTGAGTTTGGCGCTGCCCCCAATGCTCTGGTCTTCTTTCTACCAAAGCCAGATTGCATAACAAGGAAAGCGGGGCCTCCTCAGAGACCCAGATGCATCTTCCACACAATTAGACTCCTCCTCAAGACCCTCAAAAGGAGTGGGGAGCAAGGCGAGTTTTTCCCATCATCTGGGTGAAAGTGCTTTGAAAGCCTGAAAGCAATTTACAAATGTAAGGTGTGATTGTTATCCAGAATTAATCTATGCTGAAGGGACACACAGCACACAGGCTTGGAGAGCTCCCCTCCGTTGGACAGAGGCAAAACAGCCGGTCCTGCCCCATCTTCATTCTCACCCCCATGCCTCCTCCTCGCATAGCTGAGGGTATTGGCAGAGGCTGCCTCCCATCCTGCCTGACAAGGCAAGGATACCTATCCCAGGCCAGCTCACAAGGAAGCAAAGACATCGTCCCAAGTAATTGTCCCAAGTACATCCAGCCCCTCCCCCTGCCCCCTGCCTTTCACCATCTCTGTGGCCCCTGGCCTGGCCCTGATTCCACATCCTCAGACTGAAGCTCTCCCACCCCTCTCCCTCCACCCCTTCACCGGACTTTTCTAGGCATTAAGGAACCAAGATGGGGAACTGGATTAGTCAGGGTTCTCCAGAGAAACAGACAGAATGTATAGATAGGATGTGTATATGCGTATGTGAAGATAAATAGAGAGATAAAGTAGTATATATCGAGAGAGAGAGAGAGAGAGAGAGAGAGAGAGAGAGAGAGAGAG